ACCTAACAAACTTACAAGCAACAAGGTTCAAGGAGGTGGTGGAGTTCCCATTAGGCAACTTAATAGCCGTAATGGAGTTTCTAGCCACATCCTTCCTAACTATAGAATGGAAGTACTTGGTGCCACGGTCACCTTGGATAAGGTGATTAACTTTACCCTTTTGGTTAAAAAAATCCTCCTTGGCCTTTTTGAAATAGAGAGCATTCTTTTTTGCTAAAGCAAGGTCCTTCTTAATTGCCTCATCGAGAGGGAAGATAAGCAAAAGAGCATGAACGCTTTTGTATTCATTTTTAGCCTCCTTTGCCTTTTCAGAAATATGCCCAAAGGCATTGAAATTAAGCTTTTTTAAAGGCCTCTTGAGTCTTTTAAGCTTTCGGGCAAGCCTAAATTGGGGCGTACCATACATATCTTGGTACCAATGATTGATAAGTATATTGGTAAAGGCCTCATGTTTAAGCCACATATTGTAGAACTTGAAAAGCCTAGAACCACCAAGCTAAGATGATTAGGGCCAATAGTCACAAGAGTGGCACAATGGTCAAAATCAACTTCCATCTCAAAGAAATGAGTATTCCAAGAGATGCCATTTATAGACCAAGAGGAGTTCATAAGGACCCTATCAAGTTTAGCCCAAAGAGACCCCCTATTCCAAGTGAGAAATTCACCGGTGGAAGGAGTATCAACGAGGATAGCTTGAATCTTGAGGTCGTTGAGGTGTTGGATGTGGTAAGCCAAGGGAGGGGTAGGCCCAATCCTTTCATTAAGGCTTCCCACACAATTAAAGTCACCCATAACAAGCCAAAGGCTGTTAACATTGGGTTTTAGTCTAGCAATGTGCTCTCAAAGGAGAGCAACCCCCCCCCCCCCCCCCCCCGATCTTGTCAAAGTTAGTCATAGATTGCCACAATGAACAAAAGACACAAGAAAGACATAAATAAAAGGAGAGCAACCCCCCCCCCCCCCCAATCTTGTCAAAGTTAGTTATAGATTGCCAATTAGGTCATATAGTGATTCTAAGATTGTCAATGCTTGGGGTGGACATCTTGGTTTCAAGTAGCCAACAAACATGGACATTGTTGGTATGCATAAAGGAGACAATAGAATTTTGTTTTGAGACCTTATTAAGGCCTATAATATTCCAAGTGGACACAAACATAAAAAAGATTATGTTTGTTTCCTCCTCACACCTTTGCCATCCTTCATACCATGCCTCGGGTTTGGCCTCAAAAAAGGCCTTGGTTTGTATCTATCCAAGAAGAGGAAGTGCACACGCTCCATGAAAACTGGGGAAACATAATGTCCATCTTCAAATTGATACATTCTGGGCAAGGATTTCAAACATTCATTTGTGAAAGTAATGCCCAAATTCATGGCATTGGTACTATTTTCCAAATAACTCCCAAGCCTAGTCATGTCTTCCTTAATATTCCCAAGGTGTTTAAGGTAGATATCTGGCCCTTTGTCTTTATGAAGATCAAGTTGGACAATGACATCATCAAGATAGGCATCTCGGATGTCATTAACCATACGGATAGAGTTAGGTGTATGCCTCCTTGGATCCTTTAGCCTAAAAGCATTACCTTGCAAACATCCATCTTCATAGTAACAGTTTAGGTAGTGTCTATAAACACCTTTCATAAAGGTAGGAGAGTACACATAGCCTTTAGGGTTAGGCTTAACCCCGGGAAGCCTTTCGAAACAATCTTTAGTGAACTTCAACCCCGGTTCCTTATCATTAACCAACCGAAGGTTTTGGTTGAGTTTGATGGTAGGAACATCAACTCCAGTTTGGTGTTTGGTGTTGATAATAGGCGGGAGGGCCTCCACAGCTTCCATATCAATTACCACTTCATCGTCAAAGGTGTCAAGACGTGCGGTTTTAATAACCCGGACCGTTTCATCAACAAAGGGATCAACCTCCATCGGGGGGGGGGGGGGGGGGGTCAATACCCACATCATCATTCTCAATGGTGTATTTGCTTGATCCTCTCTTACATCTATTCACCATAAAGAATGGGTTTTCAACCTTTTTAAGGTTAAAACCATCCTTCTTTTGAGGTTCCACATTCATGTGTTCCTTTCCATTCCTTTTTGGAACATTTTTTTCATTAGTGTTGACAATGGTAGAAGGATATAAGGACTTCTTAGTAGCCTCAATGGCTTCCTTTTCTTTCTTTTCACTTTCGACCAAGACCTTACAAGTAAAGGCATGGTGGCCGAAAATTTTCCTATGGAAATAATAGTTGGGATACATTTCATATCTCACATATTGTGTGTGGAATTTGCCATTAGGAAGCTTGATTTTAAGCTCAAGAGGAGGAGGCTTAGAGGCATCAATCTCAATAAAGACCTAGCAAAGTGAGATCTCACTTTTTCTTGAGTCACCCTATCCGTAGCCATAGGAACTCCAACTCTAGAAGCAAGTTCACTAATGATGTCTTCCTCCCAAATTATCATGGGCAAGTGTGGGAATTGGACCCAAATAGGGAGTTTGAGGGACTCATCATTATCCATAGAGAAGTCATCTGAAAGAGGTTTCAAAGGGAATGATCGACTTTTCAAGAATAGTATGAGGTCCACCCAAGAGAACCTTAGTTCTATCATTCTCACATTTGAATTTAAATATAACCCATCCCTTATCATGGGATCTAACTTGGCAAGGTACATTCCACTTGTTCATCATATCATGGATAGCTTTGTATCAGGGGAAATGCCCATCAATGTAAGCAACAAGGCAAAAGCCCCAAATTTCAACCATAGAGGACAACTTTCTATTAGAAAGGTCAACAAAGTCACCCACCGGTTCAATGTACCTCAATTTCATACCCTTCTCGGGTTCCCTATTAACTTTGAAAAGAGAAACCCAAGGTTGGGAAGTACAGTATAATTCCAGTTAGCAACGTTTTTGTCATTTTCATTGATCACAACCTCGACATCCGGAGTAGAGGCATTAGCCAAAACCGCGACATCCAAAGTGGAGGCATCAACCGAGGCATTAGCCACGACATCAGAACCCTTTTCAAAGGAGGAGGCTTGAGGTATAGCCTCGACATTTGGGACATTACCCAAAACCGTGGCCTCAATGGTAACATTTTCCAAGACCAAAGGGACATCACCCAAAACCGTAGCATCAACGGTAACATTTTCCTTAGAGACATTGGTTTCAATATGTGGTTCAACAACCACATCTTTCAAAGCATTAATTTCATCAAGTTTCTCACCATTAATAGGTTCAACAACCACCTCATTAATAGCATCAGAATCACCCATAGTCTCGCGTATAAGAGGATCAACTACACCTTCAGATAAAGGAATAGATGTTACCTCATTCGGCACCCCATTTGCTACATTGGGTTGAACTTCCAAGCTAGGATCCGAGGAGGAGGTTTCCAAGCTAGGTTGGGAGCTTTCACCCTCAAGACGAGACGCATTGCTCTCGCTATCATGTTCTTCAACCCGGACAACTTCCTCAATCCCCTTAGCTAGAGCTATAGCTTTGAGCCGAGAAGAGGATTTGACAGGGACTATAAAATCCCTGTTCTTGGCCTTTCCCTTAGGCATTGTAACCAAGAAGCAAAGTAGGGCAAGCTAAAAGTTAGCCACCCCCACACATAGGAAAGAAAAAGTAGCATGTACCAATGGAGGAAAAGGAACAAATCGCAATAAACCCACTTGAAGGAGAAGAGTACGGCCCAAATCAAGACTTTCTTGATGATGATGAAACTTAGGTTTGCTTGATCCTCAAAACTAGGAGAAGCTCAATACATGCTCTAATCAAGTTTTCATCAAGAGGAGAGGGAGAAAGAGTCGTTGATTCTTGATGTTGAGGTCCCTTGCTGCTACATGTCTACTTATACTTTCTACTTCTCTTTATTAATAAAGTTTCATTTTCTAAAAAACTAGATATGGACATGTAAACTATATATTCCTTACTTATTAGTAAAGCCAACCTTAAAACTTGTTTCACAACTATAGGTTTGGTGCATGTTTGATAGTCATATATCTCTATCTTCTAACTTTTGTACTATTTAAAAAATCTTTAAAAGTTTATATATATATTTGACACGACAAATTTTAAAAGTGTTTTTCTCAGAATAGTTATTCATGGTTGGGAAAAAGAAGTACTATGTATTATTATTCATATTAATTACTTTTAATCATCTTTCTCCAGAGCCCCCATTTAATAGCTAAAGATAAATTATCTCTCCGACTCAATATGTGGACTCAGCTACCACACACGTCACAATATTGGAAGGATAAATAACAATTTAATCTCACACGTTTCCTAATTCTGAGAGCGGCCCAATACTTTGAATAGCATTCTTACACTGTGAGTACTAGTAATCAGTAGAGCATGAAACCTTGAACTCAACAACCCCATAATTCCCCATAAATATCAATTGCGGGCAGACACAAGGGTGGAGACGGGGAGGGTTTGAAGGGGCCTCAGCCCCTGCAAGAAAAAAATCTTAGGTATATATAATGTAAAAATACTTTTAATCTATAGAAAATATGTTAACATTTTAAACTTTGCCCCGTACAATGTAAAAGCCCCCCTTAACCATAGATCTCTGGCTCCGCCACTGGGTAGACAAAACATGCTAAGATTTGGTAACAAATGTGAAGGAGATGGGGATGAATAGAAAATTATAAAGCTTTACAAAGCTTGAATCGTCCAGTCGGCCACCACCTATATAACAACTACTATTACTGTTTTCAAAAATCAAAACATATATTTCCATCTTTAATCTTGCATAATAAATTTTGATCATTTTCAAAATTATTTTATTCAATTTGGTACAACTTGCAGTATATTTTCCAAATATGTAAATTTTAATTATTGGAAAGATATGTCACTCATAGAAGTATTTACTTTGTCATCAGTTAATGGTAGTAAACAGCATTCAACCTTGATATGGGAATGATGGGTATGTTTTAGTGTGACGTAACGTAAAGGCACCGAGTACAACACTTTTTATTACAAGTATATACGTAGTATATCCGAAAGGACAACAAGTATCAAAACTTTAGCAACAATATTCATACTGATATAGAAGTTATTAGTGATACGGATTATGGAGTAACAATATTTATTGTTTCGAATAGTTAGTTAATACAGACTAAGTGACCCACTGCTACCGAACTCAATAATAATAGATATAATAATAGTAATAATAATAATAATCATAATCATAATCATAATCATAATCATAATCATAATCATAATCATAATCATAATCATAATCATAATCATAATCATAATCATAATCATAATCATAATCATAATCATAATCATAATCATAATCATAATCATAATCATAGTAATAATATCCTAACTAAAGAGTCATCGAGCAAGAGTGAGCACGTATAGAGTGGCTAACAACAGCAGTCAGCGATTTCAATGCCAAAGCCTAAGGCAAAACCCGGACGGCACAAGAGAAGAGTTGCTGATGCTGCTGCGCTTGGAGATGAGATCGGAGAAACTGTGGAGCAATTGAGCTGCCAGTGACTCAGGATCTTCAATCAGAGTATCCACAAACGTTTTCACGACGCGGACCTCTTGAGGGGTCGCTCTCAGACTGTACCAAGTCAAGAACTTCTCCCTAAATCCCGTCCCGATACGGCCGTTGCACTCCAACCATCTGATTACCTTCACATAGTACTCGAAACCCTTGTCTCCCTCCCCGAGGACGTCATCTTCCCACTCTTCCTCTCTTTCGCCCCCCCTCTCTTTCTTCTTCTTGGAGCTTGTCCCAACCTGTGCATTCCCTTCCTCCTTTCTGCTGGACTCACCCGGTTGGGATCTACTCTCCCCCTTGTAAGGTGGTGTTATGGGCAGCCCCGAGGGGGGCGTGTTCGATCCCCCATTGTCGGTGCTTGTTGCTTCTTCTTCTTCATTGTCGTCGTCATCATCATCATCATCATCATCATCAACATCATCTTCTATTTGGGTGGTAGCTGCAGTTTCTTCCACGCTTTTTTCTTCATCATTGCAGCATAATAAGACATCCATACAAGTGATGTTGCCATCATTATTACTATCATCAGTGTAACAAGAAACACTTGTATTGTCTCCTTGAGGGGGGTTGTTTCTTTGCAGGTCCGAGCTTCTTACATGGGCTTCTTCCGAATTCTGAGTATTCGGGTGTGGAACATCATTTACTGAAGCTGCTGCTTCTTCTCTTGTCCGAAACTGAAGCTCACATATTCCCAACTCTCTTTTACTGTCTGCAGGGAAGACCAATTTCAGAAGATACTCCGTATTAGGAATCAGCCCAGACATTACAAACCTGGTGGTTGGTCCCAGCAATGTGCACGTCGGATCCACGGGATAGTCTGAGTCATCTGCTTTGCGATGCCACATAGTGTAACCAACAGTGTTTCCTAACCTTGACTCTTCACAGGTAAGGATGACGGTGACAAATGTGGTAGAAACGTCTTCCAATCTAATTAGCTTTGAAGCCGTCCGATTAGAATCTGCAATATTAGAAGGTCCTCAGTCCCCATCTTTCTTTTGTCTCGAATGGAGATTGGTATATTCTATATTCACAAACATGTCTAAATGGCAAAAAATATCAGGATGTATTAAGGTGCCAATTGTAACCAATTGATTTTTCATTTTTTGAGCTTAATATACCCCAATACCATTTTAAGACTTGAGATCCCAAAAGATAAACCCAATAAAGAAATTGGCTAGAGGTGCTATATGTTGATTTATTTATTTTAAGGTGGGATGTCTTAACACGAAGAATGGTGTTAGTTTTCTACAAGAAGTTGCCCTAAATAGGACTAAAACATTGCCTAAGTTCCTAAATAGGACTTTAAGTTTATTATTCTCTAAATAGGACTCCAAATTACAGTTTTACCTCTCAACTAATTAAACACCAGACCCAGAAGAAAGTTGTCTCTTCTCCTCTGACTTCTACAGTAGATCGTAACATGTGATTTCTCCACCCCAATTGATCTCCATCTACCCTGGACTACAGTTCCGCCATCGACCATAGCTGCGAAATTGTCGACACCACCTCTTCTGCAATTTCTCCAGCGAAGCCAGGTAGGTCTTTCTCCTCCTCATCGTCGTCGTCATCATCATCATCATCATCATCTTCTTCTTCTTGTTCTTGGTCCTCCCCTTTATTTTTATTTTTAATCAATGTTATTCTAAATAAAAATTTGGATTTGAAAATTTCAGATGAAGTGTTAGTTTTCAAAAAAGAACTGATGGTGTGTGTCAGTGTGTGTGTGTGTGTGTGTGTATATCTGAATTTGATTTTTTTTGGCAACCAAATCTCTTTGAATTTTTATTTATTTATCAATTTTTTTGGGGGAAAACTGTCAAATAGGTCCTCGAACTTTCATAAAAAAGTCAATTAAGTCCTTCTATAGGAGACTCTGTCCGGTCGTCGCGATTTGGGGCGGTTCTCGGTGGAATTTTTTGATGAAATTTTTTGAGCATCTTATTCATCAAGTCTAGTTTACTCATACCAAATTTCAGCTAAAAATTTAATCGGGAGCGCATTCAAATTAATTCGAGAACGCGAAAATGCGCAGTTATCTTCAAGAATTAATTTGAATGTGTTCCCGATTGAATTTTTAGCTGAAATTTGATATGAGTAAACTAGACTTGGTGAATAAGATGCTCAAAAAATTTCATCAAAAAATTCCACCGGGAACTGCCCCAAATCGCGACGGCCAGACAGAATCTATATATAGGACTTAATTGACCTTTTTATGAAAGTTCGAGGACCTATTTGACAGTTTTCCCATTTCATTTTTATTGATTTTGAATCTTAGAATACCCTAACTACTAATTTTTAGAAAAATGTCAATTTTTAATCTGAGAATGTCATGACTATTGATCATTTGAAAAAATGCCACTTTTATGGCACTCTCACTTTGAAATCATAGTATTTGTAATGCCATACCTTTTTACATGTTTCCAAATGATGTCATTTTTATGACACCAAATGTTTAAACAGCAATATTGTTTATGACTTTCATTTTTCTTTTCTTTTCATATTTTAGATTAATTTGATTATTACATTAATTTCCTACGAATGAGAATCTGAAAAAGCCTTTATTGTTCATCTATTTTTTTTACATTCATATGTTTTCACAATCTGAAAATGCCTTGTTTCTATTAAAAAATGTCATTATCATGTTATTATTCATATCAAGTGGCATTCTCGTTAGAGGTTGCAGTGACTTGCCAAGAAGCAATGACTCCATCAGAGCATGACGGCAGTGAACACAGTGAAGGGCAGCGGCGGCAGCGGCTGACTTACTGAGGGGTGGGTGAGGCCTAGTGTGCTTTTCGCATAGCTAGCATCTTCAAAAGTCGAAACCAGGGCATCGTGGAGGGCTGGGAGTCTGGGAATTTTTTTATTTTTTCATTACGAGTAATCTGATAGGAATGGGCTTAGTATTGTAGATAATAATAAGTGGGCCTATTATTGTAGCTAATAATAAGTGGGCTTGTTCTATAAATAGTAAGGGAGGGAGGCTTATAAGTAGGCAAGTATTTCGTTGGATTTGGCTTGGCTAGGAGATTGGGCATCTCGAATGGTCCTTCACTGTATCCCTTATGCTCGGTTCATATTGTTGAATAAAGCTTACGATCTGTTCTTCTACAATTCCTATTGATTTCTATATTGTTCGGAGTATCGATTACCGGTGTTCTATCATTGGTATCAGAGCAAGCTTCCTGGAGACAGAGAATCGAATCATCGAGCATATTAGAGCAAATCGCTCCTGGAGTCTTATTGATTGTCGCATCTTTATCGCAGAAGAGGATAAGTATTCGCGAAGCTGAGACACGAACGAACCAAGATGGAACAACGATTGGAGGCCGCTGAACGTGGTTATGTCGCGATAGAAGAAAGTTTTCTGCGAATGGAAGCAAAGATGGAAACAGTGATGGAACGGATAACAAGAGAGATGGATGCGATGATCGATGAAATCCGCGAGAGTAGGAGGTCGCGATCTCATCATCGTCATCAATCGCGAACTGTTCCGCAAACGTCAATATCGGTTTCCAGTTCTAAACCTTCCTCGCGAAGTGTTTATCCTCACTCATCTTCATCGCAAGTTGGCTACCTCGTCAGTTCCCAGAAACCTTCGAAATCGCGAACCGCATCTTCCATTCTTCAGTCGCGAACTTCCTCTCACAGTTCACAATGGCGAACTCCAACATCAGCCAGCAGTTCACGACGTAGTCCGACGCGATTGAGAGGAGAAGCTTCATCGCTAACAGTAGTTTCCAGCTCTCAGATGCAAACCACTTCTACCAGCTCGCAAATGACATCTCAAGCGGCATCTCACAGCGCTCTAGCTTCATCTCCAGCCGAGTTCTCCAGTTCGCAGACTGTGATGCAGTCAAGAGCCTCCAGTTCTCAATCCCTTGCTTATTCTTATACAGCTTCTCAACATGCACAAGTTTCTCCAAAATTGAAATCTGAGTTGAAGTTGGTTTCATCAACACCTTCAGAACAGAGTGATGTTGACATTCTTCCAACGCCAACACTTTATCCCAGTTCGCCTCCAAGTGCGAAGCAAGTGACAGGAGATGTTCTAAGTTTGCAGATAACAGCCAACAAAAGCAAGATACACATGAACCAAGGACCCAGCCTAGTCAGGAGAGAGACAGAGATGCAGCTATTCAATGGTGAGGTAAGCTATGGTAGATCTTCGGAGCTAAGGCTGTTGTCAGATGGTGTTCCTGGTGACCCTGGCAAAAAGGGAGGACAGGCAGAGCGTCTGGCATTAGAAGTGCCTCAAGTTTCTATCCCTGATGTTCATTATGTTGCTGCCAGAAGGATAGGAACTTTCCAGAGCTCTGCTATTTCTTTTGGTCTCAAACCTTTGGCTGGAAAATGCAAAGATGATAAGAAAACACCTCATTTGGCAATTGATAGCAATGAATTTGTGCTCTCCAAATTCATTCCTGGAAAAATTAGGGGTGAGGTCAGGAACTCTTTAACAGTACTTTCTGAGGAAGATAAATGGCATGGGGATGCAAATGTTATCAGTATCAAGGTTGGGACCAATGGTGTTACAGGACTATTAATTGTGCCGAAAGGAGGCAGGGTTAACATGGTTTATGTTAGGAATCTGCCTACTTAGTATTTTAATAGGGTATTTGAAAGGAGAAATAAAATGGGCTGAGGTCAATTATGTGGGCTGGGGTCATTTAATGGGTCTGTTTATCTATTTTAGTCCCTGTGTGGACCTACTACTATAAATAGTAAGTTGGGTAGCTAATAATAGGTAGACTGTCATTTTATAAGATTGTTGCCTTGTTGCCTGAGTATCCCGATATCTTGTTGCCTAAGTTGAAGTTTACCCCTATCAATAAACACCCCTTTTCATCTCATTACCAGATCTACGTTGTTGTTCACTGTTTTCCGCAGGATTATTGCTTGATTCCTATCATTGGTATCAGAGCAATCGCTCCTGGGGATCGCAAGTGAAGTGCGACTACAGTAGAGTTCTCGCTTCAGCATCGTTGTGAGGTAGCGACTGCAACCTAGCTCCTGGAGATCGGATTGGGGGCTCAGTTTCAGCTAAACGATCGCTTAAGAGGTGGATGGTCAAAACCAGATCTAAAATGGAACATCGAGTGGATGCGTTGGAGCTAGAGATGAAGACGGCGGTGGCGACACTCACGGCTTCTATGGCAACGATGAATGAACAGTTCCAGAGCAATCTAGCGGCTTCTACGGCCGCGATGGCTGAACAGTTCCAGAGCAACCTAGTGGCTTCCACGGCCGCGATGGCTGAGCAAATCCATAGACTTCGCGATCAGCATCGGGGGAGGTCGCGATCAAGCCACCACCATCGTTCGAGGTCACCGCACAGTCCCACGAAATCCAGAGGTAATTCTGTTCATTCTCCTGTCCACAACCGTAGAGTTCATACTGGTAGGAAGGTGGACCTACCACTGTTCAATGGGGATGGTGCTTACAACTGGATAGTGAGAATGGAGCGCTATTTTAGATTGAATAATACTGAGGAAGAAGACAAGGCGGAGGTTTCCATGGTGGCTATGGAGGATAGAGCGTTGAATTGGTTCCAGTGGTGGGAACATCAGGCGGAGGAGGTAACCTGGGAAAACCTGAAGGATGCTGTCATCCGCAGGTTCCAGCCCGACTTACTACAAAACCCCTTTGGACCCATGTTGAGTCTGAAACAAACTGGGACTGTACATGATTACCGGGAGGAGTTTGAGATGGTAATAGCCCCACAGAAGAACATTGACAGGGGAATGCTTCGAGGCATCTTCATTAATGGCCTCAAGGATGAAGTGAAAGCTGAACTCAAACTCTTCCACTCCAAGTCGTTATCTGCCACCATGGATAGGGCCATCTTGATTGAACAAAGGAATGAGGTTGTGCACTTGAAAGGAAAGGCTGCAGATAAACTTGGAGGGAAGGAAAAAGGGCAGTTGAACTATAGACAACACTTTTGGGGTGAGGGATACAAGCCAAAAGCTGGGAGTTCAGGGTCCCAAACTGGTGGCAGTAATGCTTCAGGCCAGCAGGGAAACCAACCTTGGTTTACTCCTGATGGGAAGAAGGAAACAGAAATAAATCCCGCAGACATACGAAGAGTAGGGCCACAGCTGACACACGAAGAATACCAAGATAGAAGCCGGAAGGGGCTTTGTTTCAAATGCGGTGAAAGATGGGGAAGAGAGCACTCATGCAAAATGAAGAATTACAAACTGATTTTAGTGGAAGATTCCGAGGGAGAAGAGGAATTAGATAACTCAGAAGGGGTAATCCTTGAAGATGAAAAGGTCACCATGGAATCTAAGTCCGTGCAATTATCCTTCATGAACCAGAAGGAAACACCCTCCATGAAGGCCTTCAAAGTACAAGGGATTCTGAAATGGGTCAAGGGAGAAAAACAAGTAGAGGTGTTGATCGATAGTGGGGCTTCCCACAACTTCATTTCTCAGAAGTTGGTAGAGCACTGTAATCTACCTTACCACACTATTCCAGGTTATACAGTACAGATGGGTAATGGTGATAGTATATCTAATAAGGGCAGATGTGAGGGGTTAGTTTTGAATATGCAGGAGACTATTATCCAAGAGAACTTCTATATGCTTGACCAGGGAGGAACTGATTTGGTCCTGGGAATGGAGTGGCTGACTAGTTTAGGGGATGTAGAGGTCAATTTCCAGAAGCTTAGCATCAAGTGGAAGCAGTCTGGGTCAATTCAGACTATTCAAGGGCATCCTGAGTTCAACTCTATTGAAATATCTCAGCAAACTAAGACACAGATTCTGAGGGGGGTTGGGGATGGTTACATGGTATTCTGGGAAGGTAAAGTAGTGGAAGGAGAACAAGGCCATCTGAATGATCTCAGTTATGATCGTTCCATAGATGCCATTATAGTTTGTGAAGATGTTAGGGAGCTGCCAGCTGTTCGTATATCTATTCAAGAGGGAATTGTAGATGTTGTCAGTCAGGACCAAGCCAGGGTGGTTGGAGGAGTTGTATTATTTAGTTGTATTATTTAGGCATTCGCTCAATTGACAAATCTGGGACGACAATTAAGGATTTCAGTTCGATACTATCTGCAATATGGGGCTCCTCTAAGGCTGAACTGAGAGGGGCTGATGAGTTGGGTAGAATCAGAGTGGACCTAAACTCTTCTAGTAAGGCTGTGGTAATTAATGTCTCTAACAGGGAGCATCCCAGGGATTCATTTTTAAAGCAAGAAATTGCTGGGGGTATCATAATTGATGGCAGGTGGCTGGATGAACTCCACAGTCTTTCTGGAGCGGTTCAACGGGCAAGATATTCCTATAATTCTCCTATGATGCAGCCCAAACAGGAGATTGATCTACGGGATACACACTTCAAAGTTGGTAGTTTGCTTGGGGACCTCTTGGTGATGATCAAATTTGTAGTCAATAAGGGTAAGCAAGTTGCGGTTGTTTCCCTTGATGTAGCAGCTGAAGTTACCACAAGGGTAGCTGAATTTGAGCTTGCAGAACTTTTATGTGCTGATAGTGGTTACAAGGAAGAGGCTTCAAGTGTAATTCCAGGGAATTTTTATACCCTATTTCTGCTCCTGTTAGCTGTGAAAGATGTGATAATGAAAGTGAAAGAAATGAAGCTCCTAGATCAGAAACCAAGGAGGTACTGGGAAGGAAGAAGTTCCAGGATGAAGAAGAAGTTCAAGATAAAGGCTGTGTCTTATTACCCACCTTGAGGGCAAGGTGGTTAATTAGGGGGGGAGTAATGTTAGGAATCTGCCTACTTAGTATTTTAATAGGGTATTTGAAAGGAGAAATAAAATGGGCTGAGGTCAATTATGTGGGCTGTGGTCATTTAATGGGTCTGTTTATCTATTTTAGTCCCTGTGTGGACCTACTACTATAAATAGTAAGTTGGGTAGCTAATAATAGGTAGACTGTCATTTTATAAGATTGTTGCCTTGTTGCCTGAGTATCCCGATATCTTGTTGCCTAAGTTGAAGTTTACCCCTATCAATAAACACCCCTTTTCATCTCGTTACCAGATCTACGTTGTTGTTCACTGTTTTCCGCAGGATTATTGCTTGATTCCTATCAGTTTATAATCAAGAAATGGATGCTGAACTTGCAGCAACAGACAGGTCTCTTGTGAAATATGATCAAGAAATTAGTGAACATGCTATATCTGGAAGTAAAGTTCATACTGGCAAGGTTGCGCAGACAACTTGTGAGACAACTTGTGTGCAGGAGCATCCAGATATTTCATTCCTGATACAACCATTTCATGCATCAAACCTGACTTTGGTGGGGCTGAATAAGACTGATGGTTTCAGATTTGATAGTGATACTTGTATGAAGTATATTCAGAAGGGAATGGGGATTATATTTGATGGGAATTATACGAAATATGGTACTGTAAATGCCTTGAATGAAGGATTTCTGGACAACAACAAGTGTGCAACCATAATTGTGCATAACTGGGACGAGTTGGTAGACTGTGTCATTACTCTCCAGCAGTTAACAGAACAGCGGGTCCACACAGGGTTGAAAAATGCCAAAGCTTGGACTTTTCATAATCACAAGTTCCTTCAACTCATCAAAGATAAGGATACATTCATTGCTGGGAATGATGGTTTGTTTCGGGAAAGTCCGGAAGCAACAATATCAAAGCAGTTAACTGTCACAGACAGAAAAGAACAGCAAAAGGAGCTATTTGTTGCTATTGAAGGATTAAGGGGGACTGAAGAGAATAAAACTTCTCCAAACATAACTTCCGCAACAGAAACATCCTTCATTTTAAAGTTTCAAACATTGAAGCACATGGTCCAATCAACAGGGAGATATTGGGAAGGAAGAGGTGCAAGAATGAAGTGCATGTGGAAGATCATGGCTGACTCCTATCACCCACCTTGAGGACAAGGTGGTTGTTTAGGGGGGGGAGTATGATAGGAATGGGCTTAGTATTGTAGATAATAATAAGTGGGCCTATTATTGTAGCTAATAATAAGTGAGCTTGTTCTATAAATAGTAAGGGAGGGGAGGCTTATAAGTAGGCAAGTATTTCGTTGGATTTGGCTTGGCTAGGAGATTGGGCATCTCGAATGGTCCTTCACTGTATCCCTTATGCTCGGTTCATATTGTTGAATAAAGTTTACGATCTGTTCTTCTACAATTCCTATTGATTTCTATATTGTTCGGAGTATCGATTACCGGTGTTCTATCATAATTTTGTCATGTTAGTACATATTTAGTTCTATAAAACATAAGAGTCCTATTTTTGCACTTTGGCATTGCTTTCAACATAACGTTTGTCCCCTGTATCTTTTATTCCCTTGCAAACAGTCAAAATAAATAACATGTTTTTGAAAACGATTAAAACAAGAAATTCATGTTTCCAAAATTTATCAAAAGAAGCACTAGTTTCAAACTCGTTTTCCCCTGTTGATAAAAAACATTACCAAACGACACCTTAGTCTATTTCTTTGTTAGGAGATGTTTGAATAAAATCACCTTCCATAGTAGGACCAGCTGCAACTTTGAGTACTCTCTTTGAGAGCACAGAATCCAAGTATTCAACTGCCAAACCACAAAGTCTCTGAACCTCTGGACCAGAAGAAAGCCGGTTAACGATGCCCCTTGCGGTCTTCACTGGAGAACCGGATAAAGGGCCCACTTCTTCCTCAAGCCTTTTTACTGCTTCATCCATAACAGTGCACAAGTCATTACATTTTTTGGCCTCCCCGAGAATCTTTTGGCTTAGAGAAATCCTATAGCACAATATGTCTACGCGTCTGGTATCTCTTGCTGTCACCAGTTGTTTTCTCAAAGAACTGCAAGAAACAGGTCAATTGACAAAGATGGTAACATCCAATATACCAGCAGTGTTTTATTGATTCAGGATACGAAAGATAATGTTAATTTTTTCCATATCAATTCAAGATCCCAAAGACTGATGCTGACAATTTAGGGCATGAATGATTGAAATTATTAACTCAAGACTTCTAAAAGATTCTGATACTTTTTTTAATAAATTATATTTATGCTTCATACATAATCTGTGACCCAATTTTCAATAAAAAGTGACATAAGAATAATAAAAGATTGAAAAAACATTCTTCTTAAATCTTAGATTGATAATTTAAATCATTCTAGTATATTGATAATTTTAAATGAAAAATATCATAAAATGATTGAATAAATAATAAAACAAACTTCATGATTTTCTTGATCTTAAATTGATAATGTCAATCGTGAATTGGTAGTTTTTATATTTAATATCATTTGATAGATAACCTATCTTTTGAGCCTTCAAGCAATAAAACTAAGATGAATTAAAGGATGAGAAAGAATAAAGTAAGAATTTAAGATCAATTTCAAACAGACTTGGATTAGAGGAATCAGAACTGAAATGCATCTTCTTGGATTGGATGAGAGTATGGCTTTGGAGAGAGCAAAGTGGAGGGTGCACATCTGTGTGGACGATTGATGTCCTTTCTACATTTCCTCTCTCTTTTCTTTTATAGTTTATCTTCTTTATCTTTTACGTTCTTATGTTATTTTTATCTTCTAGCTTTTTTATGCTCTTTTATCTTTCTACCTTTTATCTTTCTTATATTCTTATGTTATTAATAAAGTAAAAACTGTGTGGTTGAAATTTGTGCAGAGGAGAGAGAATTAACTTTAGCCACATATTCCTTACTTTAAATGGAAATGGCAAATCTTTTTGGGACATGCAAAAAGGGAAATTTGGCCAATCTTTTCGGGACGGAGGGAGTATTTATTTATCTTTATTCTATCCATTTTATCTCCCCCCCCCCCGGTTGTCTCTCTGTTTGGCATCGATATCATAGATCGATTCATGTTAGCCGACCCCAAATTCTTTTGGGTTTAAGGCTTGGATGTTGTTGTTGTATTATATTTGTTTGAACCATTTTTTCCACTTTGCTTCTTTTTTTGGGAATGTTTGGTACTATGTAATGGTTGAACTTCCTGTCATGATAGAATCAAAATTTTATTTTAGTTCTATTTGACTAGGCAATCGGTTTATTACTAATGACTATTTTATTAAATTCAAAATAATTGTTATTAACTTATTATGCTCCCCCCATCCCATTAACCTTTGCAAGTTTACTATTCATGTGGTCAAACAGTCAAAGTAATTCAGTTTTGCTCTCTGATTTCAAGTATCATTTTTTATTATCATATTTGAATTCGATTTTTGTGATTTAATAGAACTTTTAGTCTAACTTAAGTATATATATTTTAAATATTTATGCTAATTTAAATATTGTGAAAGAGGAATTAAATGACAAAGTTTTAAGGGAGGGAGGGAGTATATAAATGTACCTAAAATAGAGGCTTACACAGTTACAACTCATTGCGTAATGAAATTCTCCTTTTACTTAATAATTCTAGGGAACTGTCATTACTTCTCTAAAATGTTGTGCATTTCATCTCAGGATGTAGGTATTTTGTGATCTCAAGAAGCAATGCAATATATGTTTTCTCCTTTCCTATACTCATCTTCCATTTCTTCTTCTTCATTACCCCAGTGCCGCAAAGGCTCCCACATATGGTGGGGTAAGGGGGGGTCGGATGTATGCAGTCTTACCTCTATACACTCATCTTCCATTTATGAATCCCATTTAATCTGAAAAGTTTAAGTACGGCAATTGGGAAAGAAAAATGGAAATTATATCTTGAATTCCCAATGAAAAGTATCGTCATCAGAAGAAAAGAGAAGTATGGAAAAAAACAGAAAATAATATAGGACTATGGTGACAAGAAATACCCGAGAAGATCATTAGTTTTTCCACAAGACACACAATTAAAGCTTCCATTGATCCCTCCTCCTCTGTCTTGACTATCATTGAAAACAATTCCAGATCTTTCATGTCTAATAGCACACTCAAGGTGGCATGACATCCCACAAGACTCCCCCCAATGCTCGAAAGGCGGGTCTGAATTGCAAAATAACCACAAGCTAGGATCCTTGTTATCATCATATTCCCGGCAAACACAACATGAACACCTCTTACAGAATGAGACTTCACTCTTTAATCTAGCTCGGCAAGCCAGATTTTTGCAGTGTATGACACCATTATCCCCCAGGTCACTGAAAACATTACTTGTAGCATCATGGAAGTGATCGGGTTTTCTCTGCCTTTTAAAACTCCCCTGGTTCTTTTCTGATTTACTACTGCTAGAAATTCCATTTTCTAGGGGTGAATTCTTCCTTTTCTTCTCGGCGACAATCTTTATAAGGCTCTCTATGATTTTTAACTTTGTGAGGCCAGTATATTTCCTTTCTTTTCCCATTTCTGCACAGAGTATCTCCAATATATCTTGACGACTCCAAGATTGTAGCATTTCAGGTGAAAAGGTTGGCATGTTTGATAGTTTGTAAACAAGTTCCCGCTTCTCCTCCATTCTCAACTTACTGCACTTTGATGGATCCAAGATATCTGCACCCAAGATGAAATCAGAAGAAAACAAATTACTTTTTGAGAGATATCATTGTCGTTTTAGGGATTCAAGATATATATAGTGTCCACTTTTCTTCCCCAGATTCCCCTCCTATATGAACAGTTTTTTTTCAATGTGTAATAATCCCAAGGTGTGAATTGGAACGAAGAAGATTGGTTACATTACTCCTCGAGATCACAAAATACTCAAGTGTTCCATACCTTCATATTAAGAAAAAAAGGACAAGCTTTGAGAGAGATAGTTTCTAAAATTTACTAACATGGAAGAGAATCATTAGACTATGAATTAGGGAAGTTGATTAATCGTACGTGATTTCTTAATTTGTGTTTCACTCCTTAAAACTACAAAAAAAAAAATGGGATGCAGAATGGTTCTTGAAAGGATTCAGGGAATGCTGGGGATTTGGCAAAAAAAACCTTTGGTGTGATCTAATTTTTTAATTCTCTGAAACGAGGATTCCTATGTTCCTTGAAAAATCTTTTCAGAAGCCTTCTTCTGCCCATGTTCTTTCTTTGAGGGAAAAGGTGGTGATTATGAATGGTTGAAAGCCACATCACAGTGAGCTTCAGTGAACTTCAATGGGATTTCAAATAGCAAAAAAGAGAGGAAAAAAAAAGGCCCAAGAGATTAGCATAATGGAGGACAATCAACTTCCCCCATGCCGCCATTCAATCTCTGATGGCATAGATTTCCAAATGGGCCTTACCCGAACCGTCCAGTGTGGAGATTGGATTGCTCTAAAGTGACAAGAAGCAAATCTGCACACCCATGAAGTGCACACATGCACATAATATGACTACTCATTAATCACTGATAATGAATTCCCAAACAAGAGTAGGTACGCACTAAGAAACCCAACAATTAACGGGACAAAACAAAACGAAAAAAGAAATATACTAAATTAATGCTCAAAACTAAGAAACAAATCGCATTTTGCTGTTATCTAAGAAATCTGAAAATTGAGCTGGTGTTTGATTCACTATCTATCGAGGATTGGGAAGGTTTCCATGATCCATTACTGATGGAAAAAGTCCAAATTTGCACCGATCCAACCAATATTTTTATCAACTTCAGTTATGAAATCACAAGCCAAAACTAGAGGAAAAGAGAAGACACAGTGGTTTGATTACCCTCAAAGAAAGGAGAATCCATGGCTGATGTATGTAGCCACACAATTTTACTCACTTTACCACAAAAGAAGCAGATATTTCTGAACGCAATACCAGATCATCATCTGACATTAGACATTACACAATAAATTACATAAAAGTACAAATATCTACAAAATAAAAATTCTGCCTAAGCGTATGCATGTTGTAATTACTTATATAATCGTGAGGCATTGGAAATTGCAAATACCAAGAAGAGATGGCCGGTGATATGCGAGGTGCTGGAAAGAATCGGTAAAGGCCCTCAACGCCTTGCGCTTTTTATGTACAATAGGGATAAACGATTGTACAGCTGAAGGCTAAATTTAGGGAGTTTATGCATGACTATGAAGGGGGTGTTTGTCCGACAGATAAAATGAAGGGATCAGCTTTTGGAAATTGTTCTCCTCCTAGTAGCAGGTATAGGGGCGTTTGGGTGATAGTGCAGAACTATTTCTAAATGCTCTAAATTACTCCTAGAAGCAGTTTTTCAGAAGTTGGGGAAGACCAACTTCGAAAAAACTGATTCTGATTATACTTCTGATTTTAAAAAAGAAGCAGAAACAAAATTAACTCCAAACACCCCCGAAATTTGCAAGTGCAAGACCTTTACCATTGACCAACCTAAGGGAAATGATTAGGAAATATTACAGTTCACTTTCACATTTGTAATCATTCTATGTTTTTTTGTCGTACTTTCTCTTTTCTCGTAATATATGATCTGTTAAATTTCAACATCCTTGTTTGGGATGAGTTTCGAACATGTGGTTTCCTTCTTGGGAGTGTCACAGTGATATCATCGAATCACAAGGTGTTTGACATCATTCTACGTTAAGTAAACCAAATTTCTACTTTGTTTGTAGGAATAACATATATTGACTCCCTCAATTTAGTAAACCAAATTTCTACTTTGTTTATATGAATAGTGATAGAGTATTAATTCTAGAGAGAGGTGAGAGCTAGAGAGAGAAAGTGAGTAATTATATTTCTCAACTTGGAACCCCCTATAATTAGCCCCTTGGGTCTATTTATAGGTAAAAATGTGGATTTGGGCCCCTAGCCTTGGGCTTAGGAGGCCCATTACAATAATCATGCCTTCTTTGGGCGAATAAGGCCACTAATGGGCTGAGTACAACACTTAGTACAAAAAATAGGAAAATACATTCTGCCCGGACGAAGTCCGGACGAAGCGGTTTACGGACGATGCGGTCCATGGACGACGCGGTCCATGGACGACGCGGTCCATGGACGACGCGGTCCATGGACGACGCGGTTCATAGAAATCAGGCGATATCTTCTCTCTTGGACGTCGCGTGCCTCTGGCCGGTGCGGGTGCCCTGCTAGTGTCTTTTGGGCTGTTTGAGTGTGTGGGCCATGGGGTCCAGGCCCATATACTCTATCAGGAGTCCCCCACTCTCTGAGCTGAGGTGAAACCGAAGCGAAAGGGAGTACTTGTTCCTTTCTGGCTGGCCGTTGCGTGAGTCTAAGGCGTTTGATGGCTGAAGAGTTCCTGCTTCGATTTTGGATGAAGCGGTTCCCTTATTTGATGTAGATGAGTCGTGCTTGGGAACTCATAGCCTTGATGCGGGCCGATGCACACTCTGTGGAAGTGCCTTTGAAGACGAGGCGATGCGCTTTCTTTTTTGTAGATGATGCGATGAATCCTTGGTGGATAAGTTGGCATGCTTTCGTCGTCATCTTGTTGGGGCCGAAGAGCTCCCATCCATTCTTTTGGCCGTAGCGGTGACATATTTTCATGAGATGGAGATGGTTGATTCCATTTATGTAGACGATGCGATGCACGCCTTTGATTTGTCGAAGCGTTTGATTTGTGGGTTCTTGCTCTGGTGAGCCGATGCGGTCCCCCCAGTGTGCGCAGCCGTTGCGTGCTTAGGTTTTGTATTTTGGGTTTTTCATTTTGGGCTCTGCGGCCGATGTGACCCGCAACGCCATTGAGGTAGCTGACGCGACTCTTAATGCTTTTTTGAGGCGAATCGCCCGTCTTTTGTTGTTGGTGAGCCGTAGCGCATCCTTTTTGCATTAAGGCCGTTGCGTTTTTCTTTCCTTGTGGCCGATGCAGTCCCCCAGTCCCCCACTCCTTTGGCCGAAGAGCATCTGAGGCACAAGGGAGTAATCAGCCGTTTCGGTACCTACGCGTTAGTCGCGACTCCAACCCTTAGGCGAACCTGTCCAAGGTAACCCTGTGGGAGAACCCTTGGACGAAGGCCGCAATGCCAGGGCTATCATCGACGATGCGCGCGCTAGTGGCCTTAGCGGTCTGCTTAAGATTTTCTGGGTCGTGAGGATGTAGAGTTTAGGCCGATGTGTTCCCCTTTATCGGAAGTGTGGGCCGATGCCTGCTTTGGAACCTTGTAGTAGTTGGGCCGTAGCGGTATTCAGCCGATGCCTTGTTCTTTGTAAGGTTGAGTTGGGCTAGAGAGAGTATTAATAATTACTCACTTTCTCTCCAAAAGTTGAGAAATATAATTACTCACTTTCTCTCTCTAGCTCTCACTTCTCTCTAGAATTAATAATCTCTCAATGAAAGCACCAAATGATAGAGTATTAATTCTAGAGAGAGGTGAGAGCTAGAGAGAGAAAGTGAGTAATTATATTTCTCAACTTGGAACCCCCTATAATTAGCCCCTTGGGTCTATTTATAGGTAAAAATGTGGATTTGGGCCCCTAGCCTTGGGCTTAGGAGGCCCATTACAATAATCATGCCTTCTTTGGGCGAATAAGGCCACTAATGGGCTGAGTACAACACTTAGTACAAAAAATAGGAAAATACATTCTGCCCGGACGAAGTCCGGACGAAGCGGTTTACGGACGATGCGGTCCATGGACGACGCGGTCCATGGACGACGCGGTCCATGGACGACGCGGTCCATGGACGACGCGGTTCATAGAAATCAGGCGATATCTTCTCTCTTGGACGTCGCGTGCCTCTGGCCGGTGCGGGTGCCCTGCTAGTGTCTTTTGGGCTGTTTGAGTGTGTGGGCCATGGGGTCCAGGCCCATATACTCTATCAAATAGCATATATTGACTCCCTCAATTTAGTTTTGTCATACAATGTGACAACCATCGATGTATTCACTTTGCATAGTATTTATACAGGTCGTTCTCTACTCGGGAGGGAGTCAAGATCTATTGTTTTATATAGTAAAGCGGAGTTATGAATAACATATGTGGCATCTTCTCATTGGCTAACAAAAAAATAAATAACATCACTTTCAATACTCATATTATCTCGTTAATTAATGTGTGCTAATTAATAGGTAGCATTAAATAACTTGCACTTTTAATGGCTAACTAATAGGGAATAGATAGATAAGGACTACGAATTCTATTATCACTTTACAAATTAAAGTGGTGAAATATTAAAATATGCTTCACAATAATTAACTAAGGATGTTTTCTTTTGGACTGAAATTTGCTGGTCTGGTCTGGTCTGGTCTGTTTAAGTCTGGTCTGGTCTGGTCTGGTCTGTTTAAGTCTGGTCTGGTCTGGTCTGGTCTGAACTGGTCTGGTCTGGTCTGGTAAACGTCTGGTCTCTGTGTATTTTATAACTACGGAAGTCTGGTCTGGTCTGGTCTGGTCTGTTTAAGCCTGGTCTGGTCTGGTCTGGTCTGTTTAAGTCTGGTCTGGTCTGGTCTGGTCTGTTTAAGTCTGGTCTGGTCTGGTCTGGGACTGAAAACAGTCCAAAAGAAAACATCCTAATAGATGTTACGGAAATTGTCCTAAATAGGACTAATGAGTTCTTAAAAAGCACAAATAGGAGTACTACTTTTAAAATTCCCTAAATAGGACTAAACATTGATTTTCTACCCTAAATACCCCTAAGAGTATTAATTCATAATGAAATGCTTTAATTCATAATAAAATCATAAAAAACGTAAAAAATATTTTAAAAACGTAAAAAAATTATAAAAAATTATAAAACATTTATAAAATAAAAAATTTAATTTTTTTTTTAAAAAAATAATAAAAAAAAGTAAAAACCCATAAAAAAATGAAAAAAAAATATGGATACCTTTCCCATCGCCTCCCGCCGCCTCTTAGCACCACCACCTCCGATTGGTGAAATTTCTTCCACTTTTGGTAAAAAAAATGCCATATTTTTCTGAAAATGCCAAAAAGATGGCATAATTACTCTTCAATATGCCAACATTTTCATTGAATATGCCATCATTATGGCATTATTTAAAATGTTGGCATATTTTTCTCCGGTGATGGGAGCTGGTGGTGCTGGGGGTGGCAGGGGTGGCAATGTTTTTTTTTTTAAATTTTATGATTTTCTTTTTTTTCTTTTTTTTTTAAAAAATATTTTTTTTTATTTTTTTTAAAAATAATTTTTTAATTAATTTTCTATTATTTTTTTACGAATTTTAGTATTTTTTTTTTATTTTTATTAATTTTTTTATGATTTTATTATTAATTAAAACATTTTACAAGTTACAAGGGTATATTTGTCCAAACACACATAAATAGTCCCATTAAGGGAATTTAAAAAATGTAGTCCTATTTGTGCAATTTTGCCACTTTTTAGTCCTATTTAGGGAATTGACTCTAGATGTTACTGAAAAATTTCACGCTGAAAAAATTAGATAGATAAATTGGAATTCGTATATAGTAAAATAGGTATCACTTCTACTATTTATATATTAAACTTGATTTATTAAATGTTAATTCGTCACTCTCTTAGTAGTCTCGAACAAAAAATACTAACATTACTTTTAAAAGTATTGTTTAAATGATTAAATAATGCAAATGCTCATACAATATAATATAAGAAGTATTTCATACTTTTTCAAATTCGATGCCTTAATTATATATACATGTACAATACACTCAGTTTATACATAATACATTGAAGAAAAATATTATTAATACATGATATCATAAATTTATATGCATATAATAAAAACACTGTCAAAAACACTTTTACTATTCTTTACAGTAAAAAAATTCAAACAAAACACTTTTACTATTCTTTAATTATGCACAAGTATAGGAAATAACAACAAAGCACTTCATTCGTCCCAATTTGTTATGTAAAAACGGTTTAGGATGTTTTTACTTAAAATAACCAGACAGACTCAAACAGACCAAACAAGATCACACTTAAATAGAGCAGATTAGACTCGAATTTTATAGTTATAAAATACACAGAGACCATAAATTTACCAGACTAGACCATCAAATTCCAGTCCAAGTAAAAACATCGTTAACTTACAAGATTGATTGGATATAAATTAAGTTACTTCTTCTCAATTTGTTTTGCAAAAGTTATATATCTACAAACTATATATACTAAGTGTTTTATTATTGAGGGTATGATGGGAAGATTTAGAAATGGGAAGATATAAATGTTACGTCAAAAAACAAAAAGTCGGAAGATATGAATGTTA